ATGCACACTGGAATCCTGGTGTCAGAGTCTGCTTCTGAGAGAATGTACATTTAGAGAGGAAGGTAGTGGTATTGGGAGGGTGGAGCCTCAGGAATTCCCCACTTCTTCTACATATGTCCCTTGACGGTGCTGGGCAAGAGTCAAGTTAAACAGGATCACCGCTGATAATGTGTGAGAAGGCACTTTGTAAAAATGTGCGCTTTGATGTATTCAATTTTGGGGGGAGAATTGATTTGGAATATCGGAATGTCATTGCTCTTAGAGCAGAAGACCTAACCAAATGCAGTTCTTTGGAAATCATTTGATTTCTTCAAGTTTCTCCATCCCATTGTCTGTCAAATAGACACAATACCTATTTCTCATTGTTGATGAGAGAATTGAGTGAAATCACAATGAAAAGTGTTGACACTTAGTAGGGTATCAACAGTATTTGTTGAATGCCAATCTGCTTTCTGAAGACTAGATAATAGACTGATTCTTATTTTAATGTCTACTTAACTTTGGTTTATGCACATAAAATTACATATAAATAGAACTTTAATTCCTTCCAGGTCAATGAAACTATTGAAATAAGGTTGTTCAGAAATGATTTCTATATTGTAATTGGACATTTCATGATCACTATTTCCTAGAAACATTCAGCTCTTTAGTTTTGGGTATATTTCCAAAAATCTGATTTTAAGAATAAAGAAATGAATGATATGCCAACCATTCACAAATCACTAAAATCATGTTTAAAAATAAGATCCCATAAATCCAAGAACAAGAGACTCATAGCTCAGGCTTCCTGTGGAAGGTTGAACAATGGCCCCACAAAGATGTCCATGTCCTGACCCCTGGAACCTGTGAATCTGACCTTCTATGGCAAAAGGGACTGTGCAGATGTGATCAAATTAAGGATCTTGAGATGGGAAGATCATCCTGGATTACCTGGGTGGGCCTGGTGTAACAACAAGGGTTCTTCTTAGAAGGAGGGGGACGACTAAGAGTCAAAGAGCAGGTCAGGTGACAAAGCAAGAAGAGATTAAAGTGATGTGGCCACAAACCAAGGATTGTTGGAAGCCTCTAGAAGCTTCTTCCAAGAGACAAGAAACAGATTTGTCCCCAGAACCTCCAGAAGGAATGAGCCCTGCCCACACCTTGATTTTAGCACCAGACGACTCACTTTGGACTTCTGACCTCCAGAACTGTAAGAGAATAAATCTATTACTTTAAACCACTAAGTTTGTGGTAAATTGTTACAATGGCACTTCCTTAACAGGGCTCTGAGAAGAACCAATTCTCGAAGTAGGGTGTGGTTGGCAGAACGCAGGCCTCTTTCCATGAGTGTGGACCCTCAGCACGAACCCAGTTATTCCTTCATCTCTCACATTATTTTTACTTGAATTCAATAGATAAAAAATTTATAAAAGAAATATAAGTAGGGAGTTGCTCCAAATTTGAATCTCAAGCATAGCAAAGTTAATAACATATTTATCTTAGGTGCCCAAGTCAAAAAGATGCCAGAGTTAGAACCTGGAACACTGGAGATGGAGTTCAGATCAATAAATGTTTTAGACTGGCACTGTCCAATAGAAATATAATAGCTGGCGGCTGGCCCTGTGGCCGAGTGGTTAAGTTCGCACGCTCTGCTGCAGGCGGCCCAGTGTTTCGTCAGTTCGAATCCTGGGCGCGGACATGGCACTGCTCATCAAACCATGCTGAGGCAGCGTCCCACGTGTCACAACTAGAAGGACCCACAACTAAGAATATACAACTAGGTATTGGGGGGCTTTGGGGAGAAAAAGGGGAAAAAAAAAAAAGAAATATAATAGCCACATGTGGCATTTAAAATTTCCTAGTAGCTGGGGCTGGCCCAGTGGCGCAGCAGTTAAGTGCGCACCTTCTGCTTCGGCGGCCTGGGGTTAGCCAGTTTGGACCCCGGGTGCGGACATGGCACTGCTTGGCGCACCATGCTGTGGTAGGCGTCCCACATATAAAGTAGAGGAAGATGGGTACAGATGTTAGCTCAGGGCCAGTCTTCCTCAGCAAAAAGAGGAGGATTGGCAGCAGTTAGCTCAGGGCTAATCTTCCTCAAAAAAAAAAAAATTCCTAGTAGCCACATTTTTAAAAATATGAGGGGCCAGCCCCATGGCCGAGTGGTTAAGTTCACGTGCTCTGCTTCAGTGACCCAGGGTTTCCCCAGTTCGAATCCTGGGCGTGGACATGGCACTGCCCATCAAGCCATGCTGAGGCGGCATCCCACATGCCACAACTGGAAGGACCCACAACTAAAAATGCACACCTATGTACCGGGGGGCTTTGGGGAGAAAAAGGAAAAATAAAATCTTTATAATAAAAAAAATATATGAAACAGGCCAGCCCTGGTGGCCTAGTGGTTAAGTTCAGCATGCTCCCCTTTGGTGGCCCAGGTTCAGTTCCCGGGTGTGGACATACAGCACTCTGTTAGTGGCCATGCTGTGGTGGCATCCCACATACAAAATAGAGGAAGGTTGGCACAGATGTGAGCTCAGGGCGAATCTTCCTCAGCAAAAAAGAAATAGGTGAAATTAATTTTAGTAATATATTTTATCTAATATCCACAACATCATCATTTCAACATGTAATCAATGTAAAATGATTAGCGCAATCTTTTATGTTCTTTTTTCCATACAAAGTCTTCCAAATCCAATGTCTATTTTACACTTACAGCCCATCTCAACTTGGACTGGCCACGTTTCAGGTCCTCCATAGCCAAGTGGAGCTAGTGACTACCATATTTACTGTATTGGACAAAGCAGGTCTAGAGCATCTAAATGGTCCCAATGCCCAAAGGGCATAAACACATCTAGGGTTCAAGGCAAATTCTGCTGCTTTAGATCAGGGAAACACACGCTGCTAATGATTTACTCATTTGATGAATGTTAATTGTCTATTATGCACTAAGCACCATTTAAGAGGCATATAATTTTCCGAGTCACTAAATTTATGGTGTAGTGTTTCAAATAAAAAAACCTGGTGCTTCTATTAGAAATCTCTATATAGCAGTCACCAATTTTCCTCTAAGTTGTAAAACCTCAGGAAATAACCAGTAGACACACACGTGTGTCGTCGGTACTTGGAGCCTGGAGTGCACGACCATAGTTCCTGGCAGTTCCTGAAGTGCTGACCACTTGCTATTTCCGAGAACGTCGAGCAGATAATACACACACTAGCTCGTGAACCCGACACTATGTAAAGAAACCGCGGTTCACATCTTGAGACCTGCAGAATTGCAGAAACTTGACATGGATTCTCCACTTTAATATCCTTTGGTTTATTTTGAGGCTTTTTGGCTTTTAATTTAATTTGGTGGCACTTTGAAAGTGAAGCTCCTGGAGGTCAGTTTGCTGGCGGCTAAAGAGCTCTTAATCTCATCTCCAAATAGTGCTTGCTCTTTCTTAAGCGGGCTTTCTAACAACACAGGAATCGCTAACACTCAGGGAAAATGTGATTATGAGCAAATTGCATCTGCTTACATTTTTATCACGAAAAGGAAATTGAAACTTGCGATCATACATTCTAAGAACCTGGTTTGAGGTTTGTTCTGTTTGAACTTCAAAATCCCTTAATTCTGTGGCTGACTGTGATGAAAGATTTTTTTTCCTTTAAGTCAAACAAAGATAGGCTCACCTTTAAGAAGTCTGGACCAAACCAAGGCTCCTAGCCTGCCCTCCCCAAGAATTCTTGACCAAAAAGTCCCAATAGCGCAGTCTCACTCAGCTGGAGGTGATTCTGCCCACCCCCCACGCTCAGGGGACTTTGGGCAATGTCCAGAGACATTTTTTGGTTGTCACAACTTGGGGAAGTTGCTACCGGCATCTAGTGGGCAGAGGCCACAGATGCCACTAAAAATCCTACAATGCACAGGTCAACTCTCTCCACCTTGGAATGAATACTTGTCCAGCCCAGCCCCAATGGTCAATAGCTCCACAGTGGAGAAACCCTGCTCTAGTGGACACCTCAGAAAGCAAAACCGCACAGCCAGAGAAGCAGGAAAACTTCCCAGTGAGTTGCTCCCAAAAGGCTGCCCTGGCGCACTGGTGAAGACGAGGGACCCAGGGCCAGACTGCCTGGGTTTGAATGCCAGCTCCATCACTTACTGGCTGTGCCTCCTTTGGCAAGTTACTCGCCCTCTCTGTGCCTCATTTTTTTCCTCTACAACATGGGGATGATAATAATAGTACCTTCCACACAGAGCGGTTATGAGCTTTAAATGGGTGAACAGTCCTAAAGTATTTAGAAGAGTGCCAGGCCTACAGTAAGCACTAAGTATGTATTTCCTAAGCGGCTTTGCTGATCTCTGGAAAAATAAGTTTCAGGGCTTAGAAAAGGTATGGGCAGTAAAGAAACAGCTTCAGATTCTGAAATGCCAGAGCGAGGAGGAGTCCATTTCACCTGACAACCACGTCCTTTCTTTCCAGTTCATCAACCCCAGTCAGAAAGGCACTGGTAGAGGAGCTCCCTGCACGGCGGGCTCTCCGCAAGCACGCTAACTCTGTCGGGCTCACTTTCTTTCCCTCCTTCCCCCGCAAAGATAGCGGCTGACAACCAGTTGGCGCCCTTCGGATAGAGCGGAAAACACAAAACTGCACAGGCACAGAAGCCACCCACCTATATTCAGACACTCACACGCGCGCCCCCACAGTGGATGTCTGCAGGCCACCAATCCAGGACGCACCCACGGGTCGGGTCGGCGCGCAGGGCCTCCCTCCTCCCGGAACCCGCCGGACGCTGCCAGGTGGGGCGCAGCTGATGCCAAGGGAACTGGTGCAAAGCCCCGCCAAAGGGGCGCGGGGAGCAAAGCCCGTGGGCACTCGGGCCTGACATCCTTGTTAAATCTCGTCTCAGTGCGCACAGAGACACATGCACACACACACCTACTGACACCCACGCGGGGATGCCTAGAGCGACGGGGGACAAAGAGAAGGGGCCTCACGCGGGAGCTCAGGCCGGGATCCGATCGCCAGCCAGCCACTCACCTGGCTGCGTTCCCTAATCCACCTGCCACCCAGGGGAGCAGCAGCGGGAGCGCAAAGGCCCAGGACGGCGGCATCTTCGAGCGGGGCCTCCCTTCACCAACGCCTCCCGCCCCCTCCTGCGCACTCCTCGGCCGCTCCGGGCTCCTGCTCCTCCGGGAGCGGTCCCCGCGGGCGGGGAGGGGAGGCCGGCCCTGCGGCGGGGGCGCTCGCGGCCCCGGGAGAGGAGGGGGAGCGCCCTGCGGCTCCTCCGCGGGCGGAGCGGGGCCGGTGCGCGAGGAGGGCGGGGCGGGCCCTGCACATCTGGCTGGGACCCGCCTCCAGCACGACCCGCGCATCCTCCGCGCTCTCAGTTCACCAAAAAACTTCCCCCAGACTCAGTTCACTTCGCTCGTGGTGCAGTCCCCACGTATCGCCATCTGTTTCAGGCATGGGACAGGTTTTGGTGATACCTGCGCCCGAGGATTTAAGAATTTAGTTGAAAAGTCAAAGCGGGAACCAAGGATGCTGGTTCAGAATGACACTTCTATCTTACTTCTGTTTAGGTTTCATACTCTGCCGGACTTTCTTCCACAAACTGCAAATCGTGGGCTGCTAGAGCTGGAAGGTCAGCGAGTGCTATGCGACGCCTTCCTTTGACAAATGATCGCTCGTGTTCATTTGCCAACAGCTTACTTCCATGGGACCACTAGATAACATTGTAATGTACTAACCAGCGCAGAAATTAAGGCGAAACACGAACGCTATATGATTTCAGAGAATGCATTTGGGTACTTACATGTTCTTTGTTCTGACGACTTGTTACGGAATGAGTGATTGGTCCCTCCTTCACCCCTGCCTGCATCCATACCCTTTGCCTTCATGGTGGGCGGAGCCTATGGCCTCACACTTTGGCTTTGGACTTGGCTGTGTGACTTGCATTGACCAACGGCATAACGGTTCTAAGCCTAGGCCTTCGGTGACACACCAAACCTCTATCATGGACATGAGAAGACTGTGCCCACAAGCTAGCCTCGTGGCCCAAGGAGAATGAGAACAGGTGGAACAGAGGTACCTGGTCAATTTGCAGACCTATAGCTTGAAGCAGAACTACTCAGTCAAGCCTGTTGTTTATCAGCCAACTCACAGATACACGAATGAGCTCAGCCAAGGGCAGCAGGGCCAGCCAGGCTACGGAGGCTTATGGTGACAATTTATTACACAGCAATGGCTCTCTGACACACTTGTGCCCTGGTGTTGGAAATAAAATGCAGACTATGGAGAAAGAGGTGTCTTGATTATAAACCTAATTCATGGTTAGATAATGAATATATGCCTTAATTCTAGCCGATGAAATGTGAGAAGTGGGAATGGGGAATATTCTTGATTTACACCGTAGATGTCCTTATTGGTGTAAGCCATGTTTAGTTGAATCTTGTTTTATGGTTGAAGGCATCCTAATGAATTCAGTATCCCTCGTTGGTAACCAGTCAGGCCTTTGAACTGTCCATAGCTCATAATGACGGCGTGGTCCTCAACACTTTACATGCATCATCTTAGTGAACACCCACACCTCTATAAGTAAGGATCATTAGTTGCCCCATGTTTGAAGTGACAAGAAACAGAGTCAGAGAGGTTAAGCAGCTTGCCCAAGATCTTACAGCTATCAAGTATAGAACCAGGATTGGAAACCAGGGCTCTGCTACTGTGATATAAATCCCTTTTCTCATCTTCTTACTCTTTTGTGGCTTCAGGTGTCAAATGAGTCTCATGAATAGGGTAATAAGATGATCTCTTCAAGGTTATTACCAAGACCCTTTCAACTCTTCATACTGTAACTGGTTGTATTTACCGAAAATATTAAAATTGAAAGGAAAGAATATAAGGTATGAACTATATACCTGCAAATACCTTAAAGCAGGTGGAATATGAAATTTGGCTGGGTGTGGGTTTCCCCACAAGCAGAACTAAGGCAAGGATTCGCGTGGAAGTAGTTTATCCTGGAGGTAGAGAGCACTGGCAGGGGAGTGAGGGAGTCAATCTGGGAGGAAAACTGTAGTAGGTGTGTATCAAGTCATCGTTGGGGGCAACCGGCGCTCCTGGCTGCTGGGCGTCTCCGGGAGCCAGCCTAGAACAGGCATCTCCATGTGATCGCGCCTAAAGGCGAGGGGGCTGGGGTATTTAGACACCGTCTCCATCAGTCATCACCTGAAGACTTCTACCAGGGTGCTGATCTTAGGATTTCCACCTGCTGTGCTGAGGGCAGAGAAAATCTCGTGGACGCTGACTGTTGAAGTGTGCTCCTATTTCCTGGGACAGGGCAGGGCGGGGCCGGCCAGGCTGCAAAGGCGCCTGTCAGGTAGTAAGAACAGAGAAGGAACAGAGAAAGAATCCGGAAATGATGCGTTGCCCGTTGCCAGGTGAGAAGGTGGATACAAATTGCCACAGAGGCAGGTGTTTTTAATAACCCCACTGGCAGTCCTGACTTTGAAGAGAACTGCTCTTTAGAGGAACCTACTCCACTCTACAAAGGAGAAACAATCTTTGAGCAGAATCTCATAAAATCGTCTGCACCTTTTACAGGCTACATTTTTTTCCTATCTATTTCCGCTTAGCCCCCTGCATGGAACAGGTGTGATAGGATATTTTTGTGCCTTCTCAATATATACACGTAACACACATATAAAACTTTTAACAGACGATGATTCTGGCACTGAGATCCAAAAATTATATTGAAATATCAGTACCAGAAGCAAAGCATTGTCTGATGCAAGAGCTCAGTGGAAGAGCGTCTAGGCCAGAGTTTTCAAACCTTAATGCCAATACAGATTACCTGGGGGTCTTGTTCAAATGCAGATTCTGATTGTGTAGCTCTGTAGTGAGGCCCGAGTCCTGATTACTAAAAAGATCCCAAGTGATGTCCATGCTACTTGTCTGAGAACCACTTAGGGTCGCGAGGGTCTGGAGATCACCTGGACCAGTAGTTCCTAAGTTCAGCTGCACACTGGCATCATCTGGGAAGCTTTGAAACTATGGATGCCTGGGTCCCACCTCAAGAGATTCTAAAGTCTGGGCCATGGCTTGGTCATGGGGACATTTAGAAACTCCCCAGGTGGTTCTAATGGAGAACCAAGATTGACAACCATTGATCTGGACCAACTCTGACATTTTATAGATGGAAAAACTCAGCTTCGGCACACCCAGCACCTTGCCTGAGGTCACACACAGGATGAGTTCATATCTGTGTTTCCATCACATGGTCCTCCACTTCAAACTTCACGATAACCATTCCTACCAAAGAAGAAAATGGCACCTCTTCTTAATCTCCTATGTTAATTGTAGCCCAGTGACATGTTCTAGAAATTGATGTGTTTTCCCAGTCTGTTTCTTTCCATTTCTTTTTGTTCCAGGAAAGAAGTCAATGAAGAAGTGTAAGACTCAGTGCAGATACTGCTAAATTCTGTACGGGAAGGTATGTCTTGAGATATAAACTGGTTTTCTTCATTCTGTGCCTGGCAAGGACCCTGTTCTTGGAGCTCTCTGGGAGAAAAACCCCAACCACTTCCAATCTGCCTTCCCTTCCTTTTTTCCCCCCCTTTCTCCGTCCTTCCCCCCTTTCCTTGCTCAAACATTTATCTGGACCCTACAAAGTGCTAGGCCCTGTGCTATGCCGTGGGGACTGCTTGGTGGAAATGTGTCCACCAGACAGGTCCTGGGTTTCCCTCCCTGGTGACCTGGGCGGGACAACACGTGCTTCTCAGCATATCCGGTCGTCTTCCACGCGAGTCTCACCTCTTGGGGGAGGGTCACTAGGGTGAGATTAAAAGAAAAAAATGACACCTTGATTTATTTTCCCCTCAAATTTTGCCAGCTCTTAGAATTCTCCACCTGAAAATTCAGAAAGAGAAAGAAATTGATATTTGTGGAGTGATTATTACATGCTAAACATTTTGTAGAGTAATTCTGTACTCCTGACAACACCTGTAAGGTAGGTATTACTACACCATTTTACAGATGAGGAATGGGAGGTGTGAGCAGTTAAATGACGTGTCTAAGGTCACCTATCAACGTAGTGGAAAGAATGTGGATTTTGAAGTCAGATCTCACTGGAGATTAATTTTGCCTCCCGATTTCATGCTTCATGGCAGGGATTCATAACCTGGAACAGGGCCAGTTCACCACCAGAAACAGTGAGTAATATTTACATGTAGAGGAATATGTTCCAGTGACAAGCGACATGGCTTTCATCTGATTTTTAAGGGAGTCTATGACCCTTTATTTTTTATTTTATATTTTTTGAGGATGATTAGCCCTGAGCTAACATCTGCCAATCCTCTTTTTGCTGAGGAAGACTGGCCCTGAGCTAACATCCATGCCCATCTTCCTCTACTTTATATGTGGGATGCCTACCACAGCATTGCTTGCCAAGCGGTGCCATGTAACCACTGTGCCACTAGGCCTGCCCCTATGACCCTTTAAATGTCACTACTAGATAGAAAAATCCCCTTGCCCGTGAATGAAATCTCATTATCGGAATGCTAGTTTCCTTGACTTTTACCAAATTCATGAGTTTTCAACATAAGGCACTCAATTGTCAGGGGCTTTTCTTTTTGTCTTTACTGGGGGGAGGTACAGCTTGGGTCCATCCTGTATACTTCCTTCCTGTTCCGTGTGTAAATATCCTTTGCTATTTTCCTGTTCACAATTGAATGTAGTAATAACTTGGCATACCCCTGCAAGGCTTGTCTATTTATTTTTTCCTACATAAATTCTTTATGATTTGTGAGAACTAAACCCAGACAAGTCAGTTTAGATAGGCCTTAAAAGGAAAGACTCTTACTCGAAGTCACTCCAACTTGATTTGGGGAAGTTCGGTTGAGAAATGTTCTGTAGACTGTAAAATTGAAACTACATTTGTGATCCCTTTAAGAAAAAAATAAAATTTGTTCAAAGTGGTTTTTTTACATATAAACCTATTTTCAAAAAGTCCTCCTATATGGTTTACAGGCTTAGTCATTCCTTTAACAAAAATTTATTGTCCCCTTGCTGATCATGTGCTGGACACTGTGTTTGGTTGGGATATAAAGATGAATGAAGACGTAACGCCTTGCCCTGAGTGACAGAAATGTAAACAGTGTTAGAATGAATGGCCTAAGTGTTAGTAGAAGTACTTCAGGGTGCTGTAGAAACAAGGAAGGAAGAAGAGAAATTCTTTGTGTTCTGTTTATATAAATGTTTGTCCCTGTTTTATCCCCTACTTTCATGGTTTTATGAAACGATTTTTAGAT